TCTATGCTGACTGGTTCTAATGTAGAAGAAAGTCAGTGAAACTCAGGAATTTGTGTTGTACAATTTGAAACCATCAGAGCCATGAATTATTGCCAAAACAAGTTATTCTTCATCCCATTTTCCTTCTTCTACAGCAAAGACTATAATATCTTTCAACTCAAAAGCAAATACAAATCTTGATCTTTGCTCTTTTATCCATGCACACAGCTATTTTTCCTTTGATTCCTTGCACTTCCTTTATTTCTGTCTTTCACCATTGTGCCTTTATTCTCTCTCATGGAGAATCCAATGGTAGAAGGAAAAGTTCTGTGTTAGGTGCCTGGTCTGGCCAGCCATAGAGTGGCAGGGCCGAAGTATTTTGCTGGGTCAGCTCCACCGTGGCCACAGAACAGAGAGCAAGGCTGGTACAAAAAGGTTGTAGGGAATGAAATGAAGAGACCAATTTGCTCATAGCCTTCTAATTCAGAAATCACAGGAAGGCTTCAGATCTATTAGTGTTGGAATCCCATTTATTTTATTGACTCCTCAAGGGAAATTGTATTATGTCCTTTGTTTCATATTTTTTTGTCCTCCTCTTACCACAACTATTTAAAAGCTTCTTTCTATACATCACAGAATTACTCTAGTGGAGGTCATTGTTAAGGAAACATCCCAGTCTTCCCATTCATGAGTTTCCCTGGCAGTCACACTCCCAAGAGACTTTCACTGCTGGCACCAGAGCCCCTTCCAAAGGGTGGCTCCAGGAAGCTGCCAGGTGCCCTGCTTGTCTCCCACACATCCCCCTGACACAGACCGGATTTCCTCACCAGTTCAACCCCAGCTTTCCCAAGACAGAGTCCCAGATGTCTTGTTCCATGAAGCCATTTATTCACAGTGCACCATCACAGACACAGCTTGAGCTGCTGCCAAAAAAACAGCAGACAAGCATTTTCTGAACAAAGTCATTAAAAATTTTTAAAAAATTAAAATTTACTGAATATGCTGTTGATACTGATTCAGGTGCCCATGTGTGTAGACATCAGCTGGAGGTGTTTAAAATAATTCTGAGGAGTGATCATGGGAAAGTAAGGAGACAAAACCATGGCATGTAAAAAGTGGGATATGTGAAGTGCAGCAGTAGTAATTATGGGCAATATATTGAATGATGACTCTGTGTCCAAAGACTAGAACTTTAAAAGAATAGGAAATTTTCACAACCTGTTTTATGTTTTCTAAATCCACTGTTTGGAACCCAGAAAACAATTGTGAGCTTGCCTTGAGAAAACCCATATATTAGTCCTGACCAGAATCATGGGAGAAGGTCTGCAAAACTTGGATAGTTATGACTGAATTTAAGCTGAGGTAATACTGAACACAAATTTAAAGTGTTAGAAACTCATTCAATTTTTTCTTTGATTCCTATTTTGAAACATATGAAAATGTATGATTATTTGAGTAACTAAAGAGCTGTTAGTAATAGAATAAATAAATGACCCCAGGGCTGTCCAGTAGCAAATAATAGTCTGATCATCTGAGATTCTTGTTACCACTAAATTATAGTCTTGCTTTCAGCTCAGGCATAAGTTTGATAGATAATATTTTCTGAAGGATTTTTTATGGAAACCTGAGGTATCTGCATTCTTGTCAGTGCTGTGTTTCTGCCTCTGCATAGGCATTTATTCAAGATGATGGATATTCCTTCTCAAATCCAAGACACAGTGTTTCTTTCCAAGGAGCAGTGTTTCTCCTGTGTATAAGACCAGAGCTCCAGGAAGTATATTCTAGCAGTAGTGCAATTTTTAGCTGTTTGTGCTGAAGGACAGACAGCAGACTCTCTGTCTTCTGCCACACCACTTCTGGATTCTTTGTCTTCCTTTTGTTTGCTAAAAACTGAATTTCTCAGTAGGGGGGTTCAGTAAAAACAAGCACAAAACAAAAAGCTCTTTCAGACTGGCAGTGTCTTCATTTTTTAGGAAATGCATAGAGTTTTGCAAAGGTACAAACATCCTTTGATGTTCCTTTCTGTGTCTTTTCCTGTCAGATGGCTTAGCAAGGAACTTCAGGGTGGCTCAATACTCGAACAATTCGAAGCCTGTTTGAAATACTGAGATACTTGTTTATGGGTAGGGGATCTTCCACACGAGCTCTAATTAATATACAAATATGTTCAGTGTGCTTTCAGACTGTATGCAGACCAGAGGCAACTTTGCTTCCAGTGGGGGAAATGCTATTCCATCAGTTGCAGTCTATGCAGTTTGGACAATGAGGAATTGGACAATTGAGTTACCTGCCACTCAAAAGGAGAAAGCAAACAATGGGCTCATATTTTTCAATTTCAATGGGCAAACAATTCCTACATATTTTTATGTCACATACTAAACAGAAGCTGTATATCATGTAGCCAGAAAAGGTCCAAATGGCACCATTAAATCGAGCTGTGCTTTGTAAACTGGGAGGCTGATTTCCTTTAAAAATACGAGAAAATGTATTTGGTTCCTCTGGTGTAAATCAGACTTAATAAAATAGAAATTACTGAAGAGAGTAAAATTGGGAAAAGAATCAGTCTCTTTGTGTGGAATAGTGAATTACATCCAGACCATATTTTAAAATGAGGTCAAGTGATTAGACCAAAAACAGGATATGAAAATAAAATTGAAGTCGTTCTTTATTAACCGTGACCTCAGTAGTCCACAGTGGTTTGGCTTATTGATTTCTAATGTTAATGTGGTTCTTACTAAGCTCTGAAGAATGTTCTTTCAACAGAACCATGTCTATTAAATGAGTCATTTGCTCTTTAAAACTAGATAGCTTTACAGCACAGCATGCCATAAACCTCCTAACGTCTCGCCAATTGTCCAGCAGGATTGTTCATGTATACAGAGAAACTTTAAAGGGATGCTGACAGGAGAGTTTCATCATCTGTAAATAGCCTTATTAAGGCTCAGGCATAAAATCCCCTTGGGTTTTTTAAGTGTGAATTCTTGCTATGACTGTGTGTCAGTACCTTCTTTTCCAGTCTGTCCTAGTTTGTTATTGCAGAACATCCTAGCATTGCTCAGCTGCTGATTACTTTTTAGTTGACTTATTTTGTTTTGTTTTATTTTTTTATAAATTAAACATGAACTAGAAGAGAGTCTGAAAGAAACCTAAGGAAAGAGAGGGAAATCAATCTGCAGACTAACACAGAGGAGCATCCTTTTAAAATGTTTTTATAATGTCACAGAGATGCTTTCATAATCCTCTTAGAGAGAAGAAAAATGACTAGGCTTGCATATATAACAGCCAGTCTATCATTCCTGAGCACACCACAGTTTCTCTGTCACACCATGTGTATAGCAAACTCCATTGCAGTGAATGGGTACCATACGGTAATAATGATTTGTCCACATTTTACAAGAAACACTACAAATTCCTTCAATAAAAATCACTATTTTTCATCTCTAGGGAAGTTCTCAGAAATACCCAAGCTGCACTTCTTAGAATAATATGGAGATACTCAGTTTCTGTTGATAGCATGCATCCATTTGTTGGTGTTGTGAATGAGAGCGAGCATTCTGAGCTCATTCTAAGCTCATTCTAAGCTGTGCTGATGCTAAATGCAGATGCAGATCAGAGTTGTAGATACACCTGCACCTTCTCCTTGAAGGAAATATGCCAGAAATACAAAAGGCTGTCTAGTGTCTAATACTTGATTTGATCAGACTACAGATGAGAGCAAGGTAATTGCTGGCAGAGGTGCTCTGGTCTTCTGATGGAGACAGATTGTTTTTACCCCATGTTCACAATCAAATCTTTCCTCCCCACTCATGAGGGCTGTTTTTTTCCTCCTGCTTCTGTTGTGGAGCTTTGAGCATCTTCCTAAATTGCATAGTCCCATCTGGCACCTGAGGAAAGTGCCATTTTCCCTAGCATCTTGCAGATTATTTTATGAGTCCTTTTGTTACAGACAAGTCTCCCATTCCTGTTTTGAGTGCCCAGCTGGCTTGCAAGCTCCCTGCTCTCTTTTGTTCCCTTCCTCCACTGGCTCCATCTGGCCCACGTGCTGCAGCTGCTTACTTGCATGCTGGAGTAAAGCAGAAGCCCCTGTGCTGTCCTCCTTTCAAACTGCCCACTCCTAACACTGGGTGCCGCATCCAGACCATGCTTTTCCCAAGAAAAGTTGGACCAGATGATCCTTGAGGTCACTCCCAACCTGGTATTCTGTGAAATACAGGAGATTATGTCCTTCCCACTTACCTAAGTGTTTCTGAAACGTTTCCTTGTGGTCATTTAATGGTAACTCTGGGCAATCTGGTGTTACCTGTGCTGAGCACAAGTTCAGTGGATCACAGCTGGAAATGCAGGAAATCAAGCGGGCTTGAAAAAATGTAAACAGCTTTGTCTTATTAAAGTTATCTACTTCACATACTTTGAGGAAAGGCTTATTTCTTGGATACATGATCTTCACTGGCTACACATGAATTTTTTTTCCTTTTTTTTAATATATGGTTTTAGTTTTAAACAAACTTTTGCAGAAGCCATGAGATGATTCAAACTTTTTTGTAGAACTTTTTCTAGTGGCAGACAAATAAATTCAGGGTTCCTAGGTTATTCTGGAGGTAACCATAGGAGCTATATCTATATTTAAAGTGCATGAAGTATCTTTTCTAATGTCCAAAGCAGTGGCCTGTACAGCTGAATAGCTATCCCTTTGAAAATATATTTAACTCCCAATATGCATTAAGTGTTCTACTGTCTAAAAATGCCCTTCTCTATGAACCTTTTATAACTGGGGCTTTATGTTCCCACTCTGAGCAGGAAGTATGGAGAATTCTGTTTTTTAATGAGGCTGCTTTTTGTTCTCTTAAAATAATCTGGTGACCTTAAACTTGCTAAGACAACATTTCCAGAAAAGTAAATGCTCTCTTTCATCTCCAAGTGCATTTACATCACTTGGTCTGTATGGATTCAGAAAGTTGAAAGTCTATTTTTCGTACAGGCAGAGATATTTTTTCCTCCCCTGTGAGGAACCAAATTTCCTTTTGAAGCTGTTGCATTTACTGTCAATTAACAGGACTTAAAATTTGTGACAGAAATTTTGGCTGGAAGGAATGTCTGGAGGTCATCAGGTCCAACCTCCTGAAGCAGCACTGCCATTTTACCACGTTAGGTATGGCTTTGTCCAGCTAAGTCTTACAAACCTCCAAGGACAGAGGTCCCACAACCTCCCTGAGTACCCTGCATTATCCCTGACAAAAACTGGAAGTTTTTTCTAAGATCCATCCCAGCCACAATCTTTGAATGTTCCTCCTTGCTGGCAATACCAGAATTTTGTCTTGTTTCATTTGTGTAAATACCCCAAAAATAGTTGTAGACTATTATTGAATCATCCCTTAGTCTCTTTATCAGATTAAACAAGATTAAACAATTCAATTCTCTCAACTGCCACTTTTTCCTTAAGGCTCCTGACCATTTTAACAGTTCTCTGCTGCTCTCTCTCCAGTTTTTATCATCCATCTCATACTGGAAGACCAAAAAAGGACACAATATTCCAGTTGAAGCTTTACCAGACAGTGATTTAACCCAATTTTCCAGGGCCATGCAGCACACCTGTAGTTTCTGCACTGTTCCTTCTCTTTCCCACCAACTCAATGCTCTCTGGACATGCAGCTTTTAAATTTTTTTCCTTTTGTTACCTCTGAGAGTTTGTCTGGCTACGGTTTGGGGGAAACAGATGCTTTGATGCTTTGCTATTGATGTAAACTGTGGAGGTGGCCACAAAGTCACCTCTGCAGAGGCACACCTACTCTTGATAGACACAGTCAAAAATGTTGGTGTTGGGCAGAAGTTGAAATAAAAAAGCACATATGTACACCTTCTATGAGATGCGCATTCACTGAAACTCCCCAGAGGGGTGTGGTTACTGCAAGAAAAATAAACTTTAGTTCAAGGTTGTTTCTGAACTTGCTGTTGCTATTTGTTGCAAATCCAAGAAAGATTGCTTGGTAGCAATCCTCTCACTTGTGCTTCTGCTGCAGATTCTCAAAGACCTGTCTGGATGAAGCCTCCTATATCTGAACTTACCATGTACATTTTCTTAACAGCTGGAGAAGGAAAACAAGAGTTTCCAGAAGGTGGTTCAGCTGGATGACATCCCAGAGTCACCCACTGACAGTTCCTTTCTCTCTCCCTTCAATACAAGAGGAGCACAGAAAAGGAGCACAGGTGTGGAGTTCAGCACTATAGTATGCTTTCTGGAGTTCTTAATTTTTCATTGCTTTTGTTGCCTTTGATGTTTAAATGAATGTTATGAAGATCTTGAACACAATGCAAAACACCCTGACCTGCTTTAGCTACAAGCTAGATCAGTGTTTGAATTATTTGAAGTCAGCCTTCTTTGTGTTTGACACAAGGTATTATCCCTTGAAGGTGATTTTTCACTTTGAGTAAATGAAAAGTAAGTGAGATGCACTCACCCAATTTATCTTAGCTGAAACAGGTTTGAAGCATTGTTGGATGCCTCAGTAAATGATATACAATCATCTGGAAACAGGCTTCTACAAAACAGGTTTGCTATCCTTTTTGGACACATTGTTCTGAGGAGCAGAGTTCAGCTGGATTCAACCTGATATTAAAGTAAAATCTAGAGGAGGCCCTAACAGAGTATCTAATAAACAAAATTACTTTGAGCCTGATCTACTAGTGTGTTATTCTAGCTTGCCTCTAGAGAAAATCACTTCACTTAACCTTACTATGCTTTATATTAGCTTCGAACTACAGCTATTCATTGTTGAATCAAGTCCTGTGTTTTGATCAAGATACAGAGAACTGTATTTTTAAAAGTGCTGAGTCTTTGTTTGTTTTGGAAGATGTTAAAACGCGTTAAAGAAAATTAGTTCTAGGCTGAATATTTGTATGACAAGTTCTGCCTACAGCAAATCTCTATGACTGAGCTGCAGATCTCTCAAAATAAGATTTCAAATTGGAATTTTTATGCAAGTCTTAACACTTGTTATACCAGAGGATGTTGCCATAATAATAAGTGGAATAACAGAGTGTTGTCACACTGCATTGCATTTCTGACCTCTGTTTCATCTTGTGAGACAAATTGATCCTCAAACATTAAAGCCATAAAGGATTATCTGAGGAAAAGTGCTTTGTGGATACTTGTAATGAAACTCAATATGGTACATGATTCAAGTAAATTAATTCATTGTTGTGATCAGTTTGTAAATGACAGTTCAAAAGCAAAATGCAAAGGAGAAAGCGCCACCAAACAAAAAAAAATAGGCAATACTAGGGATTTTTTACCTACGCCTTTGTTTTACACTCCACAGATAAAACTTTCCAAAAAGCAAAAATATACAAAACTAACAACTCTGTGTTGAGTTGAAGTTAAATCCTCTGGTTATTTCTAATGCACAATAATGTGAAACAATGGAGCATTTCTAGGTTTTCCCTCTCCAAAGGAAGCCGTCAGCAGCCAAATGCAGCAGCCACATACAGGGGTTGTGCTGTCTTTGTTACTGCAGGGCAGGCTGGTGCTGAGAGTCCCTCGGCTGTGCAGGAACGGGAGAGAAGGGGAGCTACTGAGATTCACCATTACATTTGTGCCTCCATAGCACCGACATACTGAATCACCTCTGCATCTTTTTCATACTCAGTTGATCATGTTACTGGAGTTGTTTGGCTCATTCTTCAAGGTAATGGAAATTATGTTGGGGAACAGAGCCAGGATCACAAGAGCCAGAGTAACTGAGAGAGCAACAGGTCTGCCTGCCTCCCCCTCTTCATGCCCTGGGCTTCCTCGCTGCAGCCAGCTGGGATATGTGCCAGGGGCTGGAATCCCAGCAGGCTGGAGTGACTCACCCACCGACATGTGGAGAGGCTAAGGCTCACCCTCCCTCCCATTGGTACCTATGGAAGATTTTGGCTGGGAATGTAGTTATTTTGACATTAAAATGGGGCTGTGCTTGGGGCAGGCCAGGCTGCTGCAGTTTAGTCTCCTTTCATCAGAGCCTGGAGAGGGCTGCACACATTCCCTAAATAGAAACGGGCATCAAGAAGCACTGCCTTCAATGCGGCAGGAAACACCATCAGGCCTTTGATGTATGCTGGTGCTGGGGCAGGAAAACTTGCCCAGCTCTGTGGAGCCTGAGCTCTTCTGTCACTCCCTCCAGAAAACAGAGGGGGAGTGTGGTTGATAACCAGGCTTAATGATAAGCCTGGTTATCATTATAACCATTAACAAACAGCCTCTTTGTTTTTGCTGGTAGAGCCCATTACCCCACAGGTGAGTGTACTGGTGCCAGGCACAAATGATCCATAATCCAACAGCGATTATGGAAACAATATGTGTGAAATCCCCTGTGAAGACACCATATTTGTTTCTCCAAAATGAGTTCCTTTTTGCAAGGCTACTTTTAGCCTATAAAATATTTCTTCCTTTATGAGCATTTCTTCAGTAGCAGAGATGGATTTATGAGGGGATGCATCAATTTATCTGTCAAACCTCACAGAGAATCTCCTTCTGGCACTATCCTGTATTTCATATGATTTCACCTTCCTCTCATGTTCTCCACCATTTCAGAGATGAAGGCCCTTTTGAACTTACATATTTCATAAATCTGATAACCAGTGTAGGGAAGGTAACCTAGTATAAGGTGAATGTCTTAAAGGAAAACTTACATTATTTTAAGCAACTGCAACTCAATGAGCTGCTAGAAGAACCAGAGGTTCTGTTACTCTTGGTTTTCTGCAAAAATGTCCAGAGCAGAGTTGAGAGCTTCAAAACTGGAGGAGTCTTTCTTTGCTCTTTCTGCTCACCACTTCATGGAAAAAACTCACCTTTTGTCCTTACCCCTCTAATGAAATCCCAGCACTCTTGATCAGGTGATCTACTTTGATTCGCTTGCAAAATGAAATCAATAATCTCATTTAAAAGACTTGCTGAAGGCAGGGAATCTCCCTCATAGTGGACGTGCTATCAGAGAAGAATCTTCCATTCTGGATGCAACCTGACCTCCAGTCTGTAAGGATAACTAGCCTGAGAGAGCATGAGGGATTTAGTGGCAAAATCAAATGCGTGAAGAGATTGTGATAAGAGCTCTGTGCTGTTACCGAAGAGTTATTAGGATTATACCACATTGCAGCTTTTCCATTACACAACTTTTCCACAGATTTTCTAAATAATTGTGTTTGAGCCAATATACACAGGGTGATGTAAGGTACAGATGGGTGAATGTGTTGACACACTGAAAGCATAAGTAGCAAAAGACATGGTGTTTCTCTTGCTTGCCTCATTGCACACAGATGACAGCCACAGTCACAGTGTCTCTGGGAAATAATGAGCTTCTTTGATTATGACTGAGAAAACGTCCATTTCCCATTTTCAGAAAGCTGTTTCAGGCACTGCTGCAGGAGAAAACCAAACCAGCTGAAGCCTGAATGTAATATTTTGGGCTCCTAGTGCAGAAATCTGCACCATTCTCCCCCACCCCTTTTGTTAAGTACAAATACGCATTGCAAGTCTCATGGTAGAGGAGACCTGTTTTGAGTATGGGGAGCCACACTGTACCTGACTTCTGGTCCTTTAGAGAAGGAATACAAGAGTTTTCCAAGGCCAGATTGGGGACCAGGCATGTATATTTTATAATAATCCCTAGCAATTTATCAAATGTCCTTTCAGATTTAGAGAGTGTAGGATTTCACAGAATGACTTCATCTCCTCAGGCCTCAAGAAGAGCTCATTGACAGTCTGGGAGTAAGCTGCACCACTGCTGAGGGAAATATGACGCTCAAAGATAAAGGAGAGTGCAAGTAAGGAGAAAAAAAACAACTCTGCTCTGTGGATCTGTGAGCTATCAGATTTACTGAGGTGCCATCTCCACCTCTCCAGTTACTATCCTGTGGGAGGGTGCAGGGTCCCAGGCAGTTCCCATGCTGCATTTGCAGCCACACAGTCCAAGTGGTCCCAGACAAGTAACTCCTTCACATTTGTCAGCTAAGAGATCTGAGGAGCCCCATGCTGATCCTGAAGCCTCATTGCACCTGATACAGCAAGAGCATTTGAACTCTCTGCTCCTCCTCATCTAGTCCTCACTGACTGTAGTGGAGCTGGGTACCTCCCTATTTGCTGTGCCTTTTAGGTCCTTCATAAATAACATCACTTATTTAGATAGGGAGTCAAGCTGGCAGCTGATGCAAAACCCATAGAGCCACAGCTGGGCAATGAAAGCAGATTCCTCAGCAAACAGTCACTGTCACCTGTTCTCTGTTCTCTGGATGTTCGGCAGTGCAAACACTGCCTCCATTTTGCCTGTTTGCAGGTGTTCATCTGGGTTTTTACTGAGCTGATGGTGACTTCATTGTTTAAGGCACTGGCAAGAGTTGTGCACACAGGGGAAGGTCAGGGGAGATTCCAAGGCAGTTGACTGTGAATGTCTAGATTTTTTTTAAAAAATAGAAGGTAAAGGCTAGGGGAATGCAAGTACAGTTACACAAAAGGGAGGCAATAGAGAGCAAGGGAGTGACAGGGTCTGCTCAGTTTTTTCTCCTGGATCTCTGGCCTGATATGTTTTTACACAACCACCTCCCTGCTGGGGGTCCCATGGGGCTTCCCATCCCCAGTGGAGCAGGCTGTGCTACCTCCCAGGAGCACCCAAAATGCAGATCGCCTTAGCCAGGTGTGATACAAGCACCATCACTGTGCATAAAGGCATACCAAATTTGTTTAAAGAATGAAAACCAGTGACACCACTCATTAATACCAGACATCCAGCTTGTTCCCCAAGCTATACCTCTTTCCTCAACAGCTGATTTCTTCTGCTTGAAGTTGCAGACAGCTGAGGTGGTGATGGACTATAAATGAGAGTTGTCTCAGTGCTTTCTCTGCCTGTGCCAGAGCCCTGGACAGCCAGACCTGGGAGGGGAAATTGTATTAAACTGAGCAGGAGGTGGAGAGACCATTCTGCAGGCCAGAGCCACTGCCTTCCCCATAATATATTCCATTGACAGCCTGCTCCAAGCCTGAGCTTTAGGGCTTTCTCTTGACCCTGGAGAAGCCCTGGGTCAGATTTGGATGGTTCCATTGGTCTGTCATTGAACCTCAACCTGTTAACAGGCTCAATGCATTTTGATATGAATTACAGCCAGGTAAAAGTTATATGGAAATTTGTTGTTTCTTTTTTTCTCATGATGACAAAAGATGAACAATGCATAAAGCTTTGTTCTCTCTCTAGTGCAGGAGGTGAACAACAAACTCAATTTCACCTGAGATCAGCCAAGAAGAAGAAGAAGCTGATTTTTCCTTTGAAGCCTAAACGTCGATCATTAAATAAATGATGCTATTAATTTTTTCAGGTGCATGGAAGGAGACTTTGAGCCACAATTTAAGAGATGTCTTATTGTTTCTTGGTTATTTCATGTTGTACAAAGCAACTACTCCTATTTATATCGTGTGAAATGTTATAGCCACTGGAGTTTTCTGCCTGGCTGATCCTGCATTAATTTGCAATGAGCATTAGTCTTGTGATTTATGGACTGCCAGGTTCCCTGAGTAGAATAACTTCCTTGAAGAAAGCTTCTCACCCACAGGACAGCTCAGACAGAGAGTTTCACTTGTCTCTGCCAGCATGGGATCTTGAAAGAAGAAAAGGGCAGGCAGGACATGGCAGGTGAAACAACAATTTTGGCACTACAGGGCAGCATTTGCTTTGGGTGAAAAGTCTAACATGGGCTCATCCTTCTCTCGTGTTACTTCCAGGTGTCTCCTTTGGACACATGGGATCTGTCCAGCCCGAAGGGAAACTACAGGTCTGTATTTATGTCTTCTGAAACTTTTGGATGGGAAAATTCATCAAATGGCTTGCACTTTTATAGCTCAAGGGTTTGTGCCTTTTCTTCTTAAGAGCTGAGGTGGAATGTCTCCACTTGGGAGCTGGGATCTAAGGTCACATAGGCATTATTGTTGATTTACACAGGGATGCAAAAGCAGAGTTGGATTTCACAACCTGCAAATCCTTGGGAACTAGTTCTCTTATTTGGTTACTTGGTGTGGTGTCAGCACTGTGCTTTGAGGAGGCAATAGCTTCAGAGGAGCATCACCCAAAGGAACTCCCTCTTCAGTGAACAATTTGGCAGGCACAACCCCTTTGATGACTTAATATTGTGCTCAGAAAGACAGTAACTACTCCTGGCTTGAGAATAAAGTAAAGGACAGTGAAGGAGGAGGATTTCAAGGAGTTTGAATGTGCCTTACATTCTAAGAGCAACACTCCTGCCTCCTCCTCCCTGCCCCACTCCAGTGCTCCTCCCTGAGCTGCAGGGAGCACAGACAGCAGCAGAGTTTTGGTAGCCCAGATTTGTGAGGCAATACATTTTCATGCTCCAGCTAGGTGCTGGAAATACCTCTACCAGGAATCAGCATCACAACTCATGCTGGTGAGCACTTCTGTTGTCGGTCTTGGAAGAGAGGCTAAAAGCTGACTTACAGACAGGCCACAATCCAAGTGTGCTTGTCCAGTTCAGACAGGAGATGTGGTCATTACACAGAGTGAGGGAGTTCCTGCTCTCTCTGCTCAGGCCCCACATGTCCTGTGTGACTGTGTGCAGTGATGCTGCGGTGTCACGGCTGGCTCTGGGGAGGCTCTCACAAGCTCTGGGTCCATGTCAGTAAAACAAAACAAAAGTGAAGGTTGCTGGAGAGTTTGCCAGCCTGAGTTCACACAGCAGTGGGAACTGGAGGCTCTGGTAAGATGTAAGTGCATGTAGAGAGGTGAACATCACATGTGGCAGGAGGGGTTATCTGGGGTAGCTTCTCTTATTGGTCTTGCTGGATGCAATCAGCTCATTAAAGCAAAGCAAATTGCCAGGGCTCACAGGATTATTTTGTGGATGAAAAGAGCTTGCCATTTAAACACTTCAGGAAATGATCTCACTTCCTCCTGGAAATTTTCAAAGACTGAAGAGCAGTTATATTTTTTTGGCCACATACATCTCCTCCATTTCCAGGTGTTTGAACGTTGCACAGGACTCAGTTGAATGGCCGGACCAGCTCCTTGGGAAAAAATTGTTCATGATGGTCTTTTGCCAGGTTCTTAAAAACTTGAGGTCTGAGAAAACATGGTTATAGACCTGGATGCTGATCAGGGACAGGCTGAAAGGAAGGACACCAAAATGGGAGGCAGAAAAACTGAGAGTATTCTTACTGTTGTGTTATTCAAATCAGGCAAAAAAAATGCGGTGAATCTTGGAGGAAACTTATTTAAAGCACTTTTTCTAAACCAAGGTGGTGGCGTAGCTTGAAAGAATTTAGTGACTAAATTCCTAGTCCCCTCCAGGAATTACACCCATTGCTTTAGCTTGTCCTTTAACTGTACTTTCATTGTCAGGCAAAGTTTTCATATCCCAGAAACTAGGACTATTTTGGGTAACTGGCTCATCTATATGAATCATCTCTTGTCTGTGGATTGGGCTTTGATAAACGTAAGAAATAAACTATTTTATAGGAGAATTCAGAATTCCAAAAAGACATGTCTCCTGTTGCCTATTGCAAGGAATTTTTTTTCCCCCAAGTGCCAATTATGAATTTATTTTCATAACTGTAAGGATGTCTTGGTTAAAAAAACAGTTTTCAGACTGGGCTCTTCTCCTGGCTGAGGTAGCACCAAATGATCAGGTCTGTGCAAAGTGCCCTTTTTTGAGCCTGTTCCTATAAAGTATCCAGAGGTTTGAAACAAAGCAATCAGTCACACACATAAGACTGTCCTGGTGGACTTCAGCCAGGCCATTAACATAACAAAGAAAATATGTGCTTATTCAGATTCTATTTATTATCCATATTTCATAACTTCTAAAGAGGGAATTGCTTGAATAATGGCAGTAATAATATATTAGTAAAGATGCTTGTTTTAATCTTCAGTGAGGTCTGACAACAGAAAAATACTGCCCAGTGTCCTAAAGCGTGTGTTTGTATGTGTTGGGGGGGGTATGAAGAAAGATCTATCTGTCCCAAATGTCATAGGAGCCCTTATTAAAATATAAAAAATACTGTTGAGTGGTCAGTGAGGTAGAGTTCACAATAATATTTTCCTTTTTGTTTTTCTTTTGTTTCTCTTTTCTTTTTTTTTGGCCTTCTTGATTGCCAGCCTGAAGAGCTCCTCTCCAGTTTTCTAGTTCAGCACCGTGGTCTCTGGCCTCAGACATCTCTGCACCACTGAAAGCTCTGTAGAACACTTGAGAGTTTTGCCAGCACCTACATAGGAGTGCTGCCTGTATGGGGTTTGTGTGGATTGCTGCCCAGCAGTTAATGCACAGGCATGCAGAAAACTCAAGAAAAGGCTATTGAGAAAAGCCAGTGGGTTGCAGTAAGAAAGATTCAAATCTGCATGGCAATGCCTTGGAATAATGTTTACATGCCAGCAAAGACAACACCTTCACTAGCTTGACTTGAATTTCTTCAAAAAGAAATATCCAAGTAACTTTTTACAGGCAGGTTTTTATATAATTCCTCTTCTGGTACTGGAAAAACAGGAATTCAAATAAAGCAAGAGTTCTGTGTGGTGCTTTCCTCTACATTTTCCTAAGCTTTCTATAAATAGTAGAGCTTGGGGATTGCTGATACCTAACTACATAGTTGGGCTGATGCAGTTTCCCTATACAAGAGATTATATTTTTTTAAGGATTTATTTTTCTGTAATTGCCCATAGCAGATGGTTAGAATTCGGCATCTGGAGAGATGCTGATCTACAGATATACCTTGTCTTCACCCACCACAGTCTGTTCTAGAATTAGCTCACTTATAACTGCTACAGATGTTGTTTTCCTTCATTAACCTTCTCCAAAGTTGGCAGCAACACAGAAAATCAGGGAACATGGCCATTGCTAGGTGCAGGTTTCAGCACCTGCAGGTGCTAGGGGTGGTGAAGGATGAGAGAGCTAAACCCTGCCCACACCTCTCAAACTTTCCAGGCAGCTGGGTTGTGGTTTGGGCATCTGGGCTGGCTTCCAGAGGCAGCAGTCTGGTCACACATGGTTTGTCCCAGGCCCTTTGCCTCCTGCAGTACAGAGGCTGCCCAGATAAAAGTGCAGAAATAATGTAGCTAAGGACAGGCTCTGTATTTTTGTTTGATATTTAATGACTTTGTGTTGTTGTCTTCAAGATGACTGGACAGCATGCAGTATGATAAAATGGATGAAACTAGCAGGATAACTTCAGAAATAATCATCTCTCAAGGAACTTCCTATGCAATACCTGAAGGGATAGCAGTTGGATAATAGCAATAATCAATCGGAGTACCTTACAGGTACAATTTATCATGCACCTTAATAAATGTTTCTTTCTGTTCTCTCACTGATCCAGAACATTATTTTCTTTCTCTGTGGGGACTTATTCACATTCTCACCCTGTCCTTCTTCTCTGATTGGCCAGCATCCAAGGACTAGGTCTTTTGCTGTAGCAGGAATGCCTCACTGGGAAACTCAGTAAGTTTTATCTTGTACAGGATCTTGTCACTTGTCCCTTTGTAAAAGAGGGAAGAGCAGAGTGTAGGATTTGCAGTAGTGTTTGAAACAGGGGTACAAGAAGGGGTTATAAAGTATTAAGATTCAGGCTAAAACACCACCTTAGAACCTGAAATACCCCAAAATAAAAAGCAAGAGACTCTTCTCAGGGCAGTGGTGGCCATGCTGCTTTGTGCATGGTGGAATGGACACACAAAATTTGGCATGTGAGAAAAAGTGTGCCTGGGTAAGGGATCCTTCCTTTATTTTCAGGGGGGAAGTGGTGAACACTAACTAAACAGGTAAAAGATCATCTGTGCTTTGGCTCTGACTCAATCCTGCCCTGGATTACAGAGGCAGAAAACACTGTAGATATAGGTGCACTGTAAGGTCTGGCGTTTCTCTTCTGGAGAATCTAGACAACAACCTCTGGTGAACTGAGGGCTTTCCACAGTTCAGCACTTGCAGCATCTCCATGAGGACATCTGTATTCTCAGCAGGAGTGTCATGGTTTGAGCCTGGCACAGAGCCAGTGCCCCCATGAAAATACCCTCACCCTGGTGTCTGCTGTGAGATGTGACCAGGAATAAGCAAAACAGGCT